CCCCCCCCCCTCCCCCCCCCCCCTCGCAAACACGCCTACATATCTTTACCCAGGACCCGGACTCGGTGGTAGACGGGGAGGGAAGATCTGTGCCACTCCGGCTTCGCGACACGATCTTCCTCCTCCTGGCCGGCGTGTACGTGAGGCACGGAGAGACCTCCGCCTCCTGCATGCGGGAGCTGACCCGCCTGCTGGGGAAGACGCCCTTCTTCCATGGAGACATGAGGGTAGGGGCAGGCGCCGGGCTCGGAGGGGTTACGGGCGCGAGCGGCGGGAGAACTCTCTTGGACTTCGCCATCGAGGTGTGTGTGTGTGTGTGTGTATGTCCTGTGACACTGCTGCTGCCTTTCAGCTGACATGTTTTTTTGTTTTTTTTGCGGGGGTGGCCGGTGCGAGCTGTGTGCGAGGACGCTCTTGGACCTCGCCATCGAGTTTGTGTGTGTATGTCCTGTGACACTGCTGCTGCCTTCCAGCTGACATGTTTTTTTTTTGTTGTTGCGGGGGTGGCCGGTGTGAGCTGTGTGCGAGGACGCTCTTGGACCTTGCCATCGAGTTTGTGTGTGTGTCGCGTGTGTGCCCGCTGTGCTTGTGCTGTGATACTTCTACTCCCTTCCTGCCATTTTGCGAAAGAGGGAGCCAATGTTGTAGTGTCCTTAATGAAGGTAATGTTTTGTTTTCTGTGTACGGTTTCTTTCTTTAGTAACTGTTTTTTTGCGCGGTGTTCAACTGTTGGATTTCAACATCGCAGGTGTGTGCTGTGCCGTTTTTTTTTTTTTCTCTGCGTGGATGTGTTTTTTTTTTTTCTCTGCGCGTTTTTTGTTTGTAATTTCATTTGTTGTTTTGGGGGGGACATGTTTTGTAGGAACACTCGTCTCTCGCACGCAAATGCGATGATTCGTGCTGTCCAGCCTTTACTGCTATTCTTGTTGTCATCCCACTTGCCCTCGGCGTCGGTCTTTTCACCTGTGCGCGTTAAGGCTTTGTATGATTGCCAGCCAGCTCTGGATTGGTCCTGCTGCCTGTTCATCTTGCATGACCCTTTGATGACACTGCTGTGCTGTCATGAGAGAGAACCCACTCCGGAGTGATCACGTGCATGCATGCGTGCATTGTCTACGTAGGGAGAAGAGCAAGCCTCTCTGTTTTGACGCTTGTAGTAAACGTTACTTGTGTTCATCTCTAAATTTACCATGGAAGAACAAGTCTCTCTTGAAACTTCGAAACGTTACAATTTATCTCTCAATTTAACATCAGAGGAATGAAAAATTCTCTCTTCGTTGACACTTGTAAACGTATGCAGAACGTCAAAAAACAAATTAAATTGATCAGGTGATGTGCGACTCGTTACAATTTATCTCAAAATGAAACATAGCGGGAGGAACAATCCTTTCTTCCTTGACACTTGTAAACGTAATATGTAAAATGTCGGAAAACAAATTACGTTGACCAGGTGATGTGCGACTCGCTCGACCACGTGACGGAGGACCGATTTCCGATCGCGCTCGAGTTTTTCGAGGCCCTTGTGAGAACATCGGAGGGGAGACTCGGCCCTCTTGCCCTTCAGCGAACCTTCAGGTGATTGGTCCGGGGGAGGGGGGGGGGGGTCCACACTGTGCCGGGGGGGTGTACTCTTGTAAACGTATGCCGTAATAGTCGTTATAGACCATAGACGTCGCATCCCTACAAAGCTCGGACGGAGCGCGCCTGCGTTTCGACGGACCAGGCTAGCATAGCACACCAACAAGCGCGAAGCGAGCGGGTGTTGTTGCTGCTGTGGTTTGATTTTTTTTTGCTGTCTTCTTTTCTTGCTTGTTTTTGGCAGTCATCGACGGGTGGAGGTTCTTGAGTAAATTATTTTGTTTAAAATCCTGCACGAATGTTACACACTTTATTTTATCTTTCATTTTTTTCTTTTTTCTTTCTGCCTCGACTCGCAGGGGACTGTCGTTTCTGTGCGCATACACGTGCTCCTCGCGGCGATGGGTGCAGGCAAGCGGGGGAACAAAGGGGCCGCTAGAGGACGACAACCCTGCATTTTCGGCTCTCAAAGACTTGCTCAGGCTTGTTTGCGGACAGGCGAGTAGTGAAAAGAGGGGGGGGGGGTTGTACTCATAGTCGTGCATGCCGTAGTCGTTAGACCATTGACCTCACATCCCTACAAAGCCGGGACGGAGCAAGCCGGGTTCTCACCGGACCAGGCTCTCACATCACCAAGCGCGAAGCGCCGTGAGGTATTCGGCGAGTCGCATGAAGGGTGAGCTGCATCCTGCTAAGGGTGTTCGGCATCTTGTGCTTACTTCCTTGCGTACGGATGACAGCTGCGTATGACTTAATTTATTTTCTGGTGCTTTCACTTCCAGAGACAGTTGTAAGCACTGTGTAACTGCCTCGAGGATGCTTGACCATTTTAACACAACGTGGTGCGATCATCCCCCTTGCGCGGAGTGAGGGTTCTCCACCCCGCACAACATGATCTACTCGACCACCATTATGGTTACCGCCAAAAAAAAAACAGAGGTAAAAAAAAAAACGGTAACCTGGTTGCCGAGTTCACGAAGTGAATTGGCTTGTTTTACAACGTCGTTGCCAAGCGACAAAAACCCGATCCCGATGGCAAATACCGAGGGGGGTGAATTGAGGGGGTGGATTGTTTGCACAGATGCTCCAGAGATAGCTGCATGGCAGTCAGCGGCATGACAAGCCAGATGCAATGTAGCTGCACCATTAACATGTTCTTCTACTTCATCCTTCGAGGATCAACTTTGAATTTGAGGTTAGGTTATTTTTGTTGTCGTACATCACATGTAGTTGCTTTTTTGTTTTTTTGCAGAAAATATGTTCAGAAAGAGTGCGTATTCTTTACGGTGGTGACTTGTGTCTGTAGGTGCTCACTGAAACTTTTTTTTTTTGTCCACAAGAGTCGCTTATTTTTGTGTTTTCACCTACCACCGCAAACGTTTTTTTTTTTTTTTTTTTTACTTGGGATCCTTATCCTCAGGTGGAGATCGCCGAGGAGGCCAGGGAGGCATTCCGGCGATCCAGAATGACAGGGACGGGGCCTCACGGTCCCCTGTTGGCCACGACTCCAGGGATAATGGCCATCCCGACGTGGGACACGTACACGCCCATGGTCGTGAAGGGGGGAGGGAGGGAGGCGGCCCCGTGGGCACGGACTCCGGACATGGACCGCGCTGGCGGTAAGTGCTGCTGCTCTTTGGCTCGGTTGTTGATGTTGTTGTTGCTGTTGTGTCGTCCGCGTTCAGTGGGACCAGTCCGGATACTTGAAGGTACTGAGCGGAGACCGGAATGTTTTGTTAGCGCGATATACAACAATGTGCTACCTGGGTTGTTGTCGTCGTTTTTTTCACAGCCAGCCCTCGCACTTCAGAAGTTACTTTTTGCAGTGAAGAAATTGAGAACTTTACGGGGAAGAAATTGAGCCTTGAAAATGTTATAACGAAACTGAGCACCGCTTGTGAGCGCGGTTAAAAAACCCTACACTAAAACCTATATAGCGACCATTCGTACAGCATGACCCTGGGAACCAAGAACCTCAACCTCGGCCAAGAGTAGGGGTTCGGAATAGTGCGGGCGCTGAACAGTACGGATATTAGAAGGCCGTGAGCGGAGGCCGGAATATATTTTCAATGTGAAGGGCAACAACAACAACAACAACAACAACACCGTGAAACGAGGACTATTTTCACCTCCGCGGTTGGGTGTCGTTTCCTCCTCTTCACGTTTGTCTGTTTGTCTGTATCGTCATGGTTACGTCGGTGCACAACACACCTTCTTTTGTCCAACTTTTTTTTTTGGCAAGGTCGAGAGCCAGCGTCGACTTCTCGACTCTTGGCCATCCCAGGCCGGGTCTCTCTCGTCATAATTACAGTGTAACACACCACCTTTTATTGTCCAGAATAAACACCTTTTCTTTTGTCTATTTCCCAAAAACTCTTCATCGTCACAAGAAATAGCAAGGTCGAGAACCAGCGTCGATTTCGACTCTTCGCCACCCCAGACCGACAGTTGTCTGTCTCATCATGGTAATAGTAGTGCACTATTCTAAATACCTTTTTTTGTTCCCGTTTTGTTTGGCAGGGTCGAGAGCCAGCTTCGACTTCGAGTCTTCGCCATCCCGGGCCGGAAGCCCGCGAGCGCCGAGCAGCAACGGGGATGACGGGGGGATGGTTTTGGACCATCCCCTCCCCGCGCCTTCGCCCTTGGGCAGGGAAGATGTTCACGACTTCGTGACGGAGTTGGTACAGGAGGTCATCGGGAGGTGCGACTTTGGTTTTATGTGTTACGTATCGGCGGGATGCTTGTCTTAGACTCCATTGCCTATACGGATGTGGTCGTGCTTTTCTTAGTTTTTAC